AATGGGATGGGAAGGGATGAGACGGGAAGGGATGGGATGGGACGGGAATGGATGGAATGGGAGGGGAAGGGATGGGATGAGAAGGGATGGAATGGGAAGGGATGGGAAGGGATGGGATGGTATGGGATGGTATGGGATGGGCCAGGATGGGATGGGACAGAATGGGACAGGATTGGCCAGGATGGGATGGGACAGGACGGGAGGAGAAGAGATTGGATGGGCAGGAATGGGGACACGGGCTACAGAAGCTGCATACCTTGTTTCCCTTGACTATGAAAGCGGTGTCCACCAGCTCAGGCCCCTCATCTTCATTGATTTGTGGTTCATACATGAATGTTGGGTTGCCGATCTCAATGTTGCCTGCTGGGTCCTGCTTCATCCGCTGATGCTTGAAGCTGCCCGTGTGCCTGCAAGTCAAGACATCATTTAGGTTTCACGTCCTTCTTTGTCCAAAAAGTATCCCTGTAGTGACTTGTTCAATTCCAACACACAAGCAGGGCTTGAAGCTATTACCTCCAGAATGGTATACCCGTGCTCCACCACTTAGCTATGACTACAAGTAGCACACATGTCTATTAGAAGCAATTCCAGCCGCTAGCCAGTCCTTCCCAAAGGGGCAAATGTTATATCTAGCCTCAACAGAAACATTTAGACAGGACTTATCAAGCCATTTCTTGGTATTATTGACAAAATGTGATCAAACCCCACCCCATTATTGTAGGCCTACATAATGCCCTTTTCGCTCCGCACATGGCCAATTTTGAAATGTGCAGCTTTTTCTACATTTCAGTATCCACTTCCATCTTCAGCTCCAACTCAATTCAGCTCCAGTTTCTGAAAACAGGGCCAGAGATTGGACTTTTTCCATTCGCTGCTAGCAGTACAAACACTTTGAAACCGGCAGTGAAGTTTGAGAAGCAAGCCGTAGATTGCATCACAGCTGAGATTTGGGAGGCAAACTTACGACCTGTAAAAGTAAGGGATGAGTCACACAGCTTCAACACTGGCCTAAATGCAAAGAAATTGAGATGACACTTCATTTCAACCAAGCTACATATTTACAGCAGAGCTGGTGGTGTTTGTCTCTCATGATGTCTTCCTGTACTTCATGTGTGAACTCGCTTGATATGACAGCAAATCAAAGACAGCAGTAACAGTTCTGGTTTATTCGACAAGCACCCACCTCTTCTTGTACCAGACAAGGAACAGGACCAGAATTATTGCGATGACGACGAGAACAACGGGAACTGCCACAGCAACAGAAACTGCAGACAGAGAAGGTGAAAGAGAGAAAAGAGGGCAGACATTGAGTTCAGAAATACAACAGGCAGGAAAGCCCACACTGGCCAAAAAACAGTCAGTGCTTTCACTTGTATTTTAGAATGAACCAAATGGCAGAGGGAAAGCTTTTTTGAAGGAAACAGAATTCTTTTGGGGGGACCACAGTTTCTGGTTAGCAGTTGACACTTCACGTTTCCCTTCCAGACATCAAATAGGCTGTTATCCTAACACCATTGAAATAATTGTTGCTACAAAAGTTCGCCAAATCTTTTAATGGGTACTGTTCAAGCTTTAAAGTGGTACCAGTGTTGATAAAAAAAACTAATCTCATATTGTTGATATCCACTTGAACATCTATGTGAAGTTAATGCTAACACATGATTATGCTCCAATACCAACTTGATTTCACAACTTTGTGCTCCGTGCTTTCAGACAGCCTGTGAGAAAATTTCACGTGATCACTCAAGTGGGACTCGAACCCAATACCTCATATGTGAAGTTAATGTTAACACATGATTATGCTCCAATACCAACTTGATTTCACAACTTTGTGCTCCGTGCTTTCAGACAGCCTGTGAGAAAATTTCCCGAGATTACCCAAGTGGGCCTAGAACCCTCTTGCTCGTGCAGAGGTCCTATCCATCCAAACACTGAGAAGAATGGGCTATGAGTTTTCTGATTCCAACCGCATACAGCATGATACATCCCTATCAATGATACTTGGAGGGACACTTTTGCGTACCTGACGACTGGTTCTGTGAGTTCTTTCCCTTGTCACCTTTATCTCCAGATGAATGAGTAGGGGATTGACGTCTATTCCAAGAAAGAAAAATAAATATGGCATTTTCAATCATAATCGTAAAAGCCAAAAAAGAGATTAAACTTGGAAGTGTTGTTTACCTTGGGAAAGCTAGAAATATAAATGTCACTATCAAATCCAAATGACCAGATGTTAAGTCCTCAATATTTGCGTTTCTCTGCTTCTCTTAAATGACATTTTTGTCGTTGTCTTTACTTTAAAAATCCAAGCTGAGATTGGAGATGCTTGGAGAGACAGACTTTCAAAAACTTTGTAAAACTCAAAAACAAACGAGACAAACGTTGTGCTTGTCGGTAGACAAACACTGAGCTGTTTTGGGGAAAAATGGTTAAAAAAAATCAGTTGCAAAGGGCTGGAATCGAACCGCCATTGTTAAGTCTGCTGTTCAAAATTTAATACACAAACTACAAACTGCGCCAGATATGTGTGGTTGGAAACTTGTCAGATTCCCCGAAACAGTGTGGCCTTAGTTACACATGTTACACATACCGAGGATATGGCTCTTACCACTACGGTTCTGACCCCTATGGGTTGTGTTGCTGGCATTACCACAGGATGGCAATTTTTTTCATTAGCGGCACACTGCGTGCATAAACGGCAAAAGGAGCCTAACACCTTTAGTTTTTGGTGGGAAACTTCAGCTTGTAGCTGTCAGGATTGATTTTTGAGCGATTTTTAGTGAATTTGTTATCTCTTCCGGTCTGATGAAGTCATCAGCCTAATTTTTTGCACAAACATTGCTGGCGTTAAAGGTCATTGTCTCTATCAATTTTCAAGTCATTCCGACAAACTTTGCCACAGGTATCTATTCAAAATTGATTTTAATCATGTTTCAGCCTGTCATCCGAGGGCGCTCGAGTATTGCATGACATCATCGGTACATGTTTTGAGGAAAAGAAATGTGTCGGAGACTAATAATACCGTTGAAAGTAGGTTCATATCTATTAGCAATTTCAAGTTACAAAGCACTTCCAGTTTAGACCACTTTGGATCAGAAGTAAGGGTCAAACGATTTTACCTATACGAGAAGGAATGAAGACCAAACATTACTCTATCATTTGGTGCAAAAAGCCAGCTGCAGGAAGTCACGTTTGATTTTTTTGTAGATTTCTAAAGATTAAGCATGAATCAGCATTTGTAATTTGTCACCTGATGACGTCATCATGACGTAATTCCTTAAGTACATTTTTGGTGTCCTAGGTTTTGCTTTGTCTAACTTTGATGAAGATGCAAGATTACCGAGTTTCAATAAAAAGCTTTTAAATAAGTGCACAAAACATACTAGGAAAAACAACGTAAATATTCAAAATTCTATAATAAATCAGGTGATGACATCACAATGACGTCATGATTCGGCATACATCTTCAGATCGTAGTCTAACTATGTGCAAGGTTTAAAAGGCATCAACATCAAGGATGAGGCAAAAGTCCTGTGTTACAAAAATTTTCAAGAAAAACAAAAGCACGGTTTAATAGAACATTGATCACAGACAACTATGTTCCATAGGGTCTGGGGTTGGTCAGACATCTTATTGGGTACTCACACACACTTGGCTCCATCCATATCAATATGACAAACAAATCCATTGTAGTGACACTTATCACAGTGGTCAACGCTACACTCGGGACCTGAGTAGCGTATTGAGGAACAGACACACTCTGCCTCATCAGCTAAAGGGGGAAATAACCAAAGAAAAATATAAAACAAAAATTACGCATCTTATCAGCAAAACTCAACTGTTTTTATTATCCCTGAACAGTTGACGGCGATCAATTTTGCATGATGTTGGATTTCAAATTCCTTGAATTTTTTGGGGGGGCAGTAGGGAAAATCTCGCAATAACAAGAATGGAACATTGTGTCACTGCTTTGTGTGTGTCTGAGGGTCTTTGATTTCTAGCCAAGTTGGTCCCTTTTATAGGCAGGCGTATGTGTGTGCACGAACCCGTATGGAACGGAGTTTGCACGATCAGAATATGTACAAGGTCGACACCCTTCAACATGTGCACACTGTCTATGGCGGTATTGGCAATCATGTGCTGGTCCTGGTTCCTTCCACAATGGAGGGAGTTATTGTGTATAGAGTCCACAGTCATCTCTTATTTCACATCAAACGGGATAACAGTGATATGCTACTGGGATCTTGTCTCGTTGGCTCTTGAGACCATAGCATCACCCACACCAAGCCAAAAACCAAATTCAAAACCAAACCAAACCAAACACCATACCAACAATTATACGAAACCAAACACAAACATAAACTCACACACAAAAACAGAACATCCACAAAAGCAAAAAAAATAAACACCAAAAATGAAAGTGAGAAACAAAAATATAAAATGTTATGCAAAAAACTTTACAATTGGCTGAAAAGAGCGGGTTTAACAAACCTGATATCTTCCGACAGCTAGCCCCATTCTGGCACTTCAGGGGTTTACATGGGTCACCTGGCAAAATCTCACACCGGTATCCCGTGTAAGACCGCGGGCAGGTGCAATTCTGTGTCCTGGTATCACCACTACCGCTGAAGTAGCATGTCCCTCCATTTAAGCAATGTCCCTCGCAGAGGTTGGTTTCGCATTTGTCTCCGGTGTACTGCATCCCACATCTTTCATTGCGAGAAGTAAAGTAGTGTGCAATTATCATTCTGATCATTTTGATACGTGTTCAAGTGCAAAGGCAAAATGAACTAAGCAGGCACAGAAAGTTACGACTTCAGAAAGTACGAGATGTGACGTGATGTGTGAGATCTGCCATAACATCATGTCAGTAATCTCTTTTGTGAGTTTGGATGAGTAACAAGAACATATCAACTGAAAATTGGTTTGTCTCCAGGAAATGACAAACACAGAATGCCCTGCATTAAAACCCAACATGAGCGCCTAATAATGGAATGACTTGGATTCAACAAGTCTCTAGCACTGTCGAAGAAATACTGTGTAAAATGTGGCGTGGACGGCAGCAAAATAATATTGTCTCTGTTCATAAGGTCGAGTTTGACTTACAGGCAGACAACTTCGCCGTTTCTCTCCACGCAGTCGGCCCCGTTCATGCACACTGCCCCGCAGCGGTCGCTGCCGCAGCGGTCTCCTTTGTACTTGGCGGTGCACTGGCAATGCAGATTGCCGGCACTGTTGACGGTACACGTCCCACTATTCAAGCAATATCCGCTACATCGGTCCAACTCGCAACGTCCGCCACTGTACTGCGGAGTGCACCTAAGTTTTTTTTTAATTTCCAGACAGAAAATGTTGTTACATGTAATGCACACCACAAAAGAAGGCTTTGCCCTTTCACCGACGTAAATGTACACACACTCACATGGTTATAATAATAATAATGAACAAGTATAGAAGGCCTGTATCCACCAAACGTCTGTCTACGCACATGTGATTTTAATCTGTCCTTGAATGTGTCGAGTTATTCCAATAGTCTCACTGTTTCCAGTAAAGAGTTCCAACGTTTGGGTGCTGCAATCTGAAAGCTTCTCTCCCCCCAACATTGAGCCATAGTTCCCTTGAGTAGATTGCTTTTGGATGACCGCAAACCCTGATGACTTGGAGCATAGAACTGGAACAAGATCACCCAAATAAGATGGAGCATCACCCTGTAGGAAGGGTCCAACATTCCCCACCTCCCCAAAATAACTTCCTTTGGTGGGATTGGAACCCACAACTTCCCCTTTACTAGTGCAGAGGTCTTAAGCACTTGACCACCTGGTCTGCCGGGTTCATGAAAGTAGTCTCAAATCCAAAGTAGCATTTGTGTAAGGCAAAACATACTACAAAATTTACATTAACCCTAACCCTCCTCAATCCTTCACTAGTTGGAGGACTCAGGAGTGTTAGGGTTAAGTTACACTCTGCATGTAAATATGGTCTCTTTGAGAGCAAGCAATGTTTATAATTTTTACTAATAGTTACCCTTTCCACTAATATTTCAGTGACTGAAAGTTTTTAACCCTTGCTCTGCTAAATCTTCCATATCACTTCAATATACACTTAATATGACTGTCCTATGCTTTGCTGAAGTAACACTATTGCAGAGGTGGTCGGCAACACACTTCGAGGAATGCTGAGCCGATCATTTTTGACATGCAAAGGGCAACCTCCAAGCGGCCTCTAGACAGATGACGCCCCACTTTATTTACATTAGTGCCTTCCTGCAGGGCTCGGCCTATGCACCTCACTGGGAGTTTACACTGGTGAGGTGCACTACCCTCTTGTGTGAAGTGTATCTATGTATCTTGCTGGCTCCAACGGAAACTCAGAGAAGCAAGGGTTAAAGTAGTCCCTTCATCTCTGCCATAGCAAACCGTGGGCTACTCACGTGCATTTGGTGGTGCGGGATCGCGTAACGGTACACGTTCCTCCATTCAAGCATTCAACCTCTTCGCAGGGCGCTGTTCAAATCAAAGACAGACAAACAAGTGATCACGCTCCAGATAAGCATTGCCACAAACTTTGAAATGCTGACCATTTCTATAAAACCTAAAAACCTTGAAGTTTCCCACTGCCTGTTAAAAAAGGGAGGGTTCAGCTAGCTGGCAATCTGCAAGACTTACAAGCTCCGCTAGGCCGACGTATTGGGAAACAATCCGAGGTTGCCTCTGCAGCTTCCAATCCATCTTTGCACTTGCAGGAGAAGCCATCAGAGTTAAGGAGACAGAGCAGTTTGTCCCCGCACGGGTTGGACGCACAGGGGTTGGGCAGGTCTAGGATAAGTAAATATAAACAATGATACGTCTGAGCTGGCATGCTTAGAGAGCAAACTGTTGCAGGTGGAGGTAACCACTTGAAATGAAATGAGGACCTGATTTATCTCAAAGTTTCACGGACTATTTTCAGTTAGCTTGAAAAAAGGCACAGATATTTCAAATTTTTAGAAGACAGAGTGAAAAGTGCCGTTTGCAAGATGTGCTCAACTCTTGCTCTGTTTCAACCTCAGAGCCACATCAACATTGGGGAGCATGTCGATGACCTGCTGAAGTGCAGGGACTGCTTGCAGTAACATTAAGATGTTGATGGGTTTCTGCACATTCTGTTGAAAAATGGTTACACCCTGACACATGGCCACATGTTCAGTCACAGGCTCCATAAGCAACTAGTCCAATGCTGCATGTTCAAACTGCTGCCATAAACCCAGCCTTTGAATCACTAGTATTGTTTGTTGGCAATAAAATGAGAATAGTATGATTTTTTTGTGCACATTCAGCTGAATTTGGTTGCATCCTGTAACTACCACTGGCCTGTTAGAACGAAGGTGCACATGCAATGTGTCCTTTATGTTGTTTTTTGGAGTCAGTTGAGCAGCCAGTAGGCACATCTTAAGCTTCTATGTACAGTGGGGTCTGACACAATCTATTACCCCTTACCCTGGGCCTGCTTCTGTTGTTGTATGATGACAAGGCCAGAGGAGCTGGCCAGCCCTTCCACCAAGAAGGTCAGGTTGCCGTTGGGGACGTCCCGCCGGCCAAACTTGTCAGCCCGGAAGATCTTCGTGCCCGGCCTGGTGGTGCCATAAATGTAGTCCTCAAAGACGTCAATGGCGAAGGGATTACCTTCCTCTGTGGGATGGGAGGAGGGAGCGGTGGGACCAAGACCAACACCGGTCAGATCTCATTCTACCGATTCTTTAGCAACAGCATGACTTATTTTGTAAAAATGATACAATAATTCTAAAGAAAGAAAGAGGATGATGTACCAGCCAAACAGCATTACACTGCTCACATGATTATAAAGGTCTCAACTTCACAATACAACAACCATTTGAGCACAGTATGATGCAGCATTTATTTGAGCACAGCGCTACATCTGAATAAATTGTGCGCAAATTTGCATAAATTACTGAAACCAAATACTGCCAAAATGTATGAATTTCCATCAATCCCACATCGCAATCACACAACTTTTTTCTACTGCCACCGGTATTTTGTATTCAAGGGGGCTAATGACCAAAATGGCCATGCAACCAAAGTACGTTCGATCTGCAAGAACAGGTTAAAAAAATGTCTGAGCTACCTGCTGAAAACCTATGGAGTAGATGTCGATTGGCCCCATCCAAACCGATCATCTCGATTCGTGAGGCCTTGGAGTCTGCCCAGTACAACCTGTCGTGGACATAGTCTATGGCCAGGCCGGTAGGGTAGATGAGGTGACTGCCAACCAACGACAACCTGTCTGTACCATCCATGTTGGCTCTGACGATGCGAGGTGTCTGGCCGACCTCGGACCAAAACAGCTGACTGTTGAGGGCAAGACGATGATAAACAACAAACCGAATGCAAAAGCCTGTTCAAGGACTCCTTTTCTTACACCAACAGAAATGGACTGACAGAACCAACCAGTCAGAGAGAAGAGATTTCTTCTGGGTACGGTTTGAATCCACTAATTTAATTAATTGTGACACATTAACAATGCTACCAATTTGGCAAATAAGTTCTGAGAGTTTAATCTCATCATTACTCTAGGACTGTAACTTTTCCTACATGGTGAAATGTTTGTCACTTAAATGCAATATCTTTAGTAGTTCCAAGTCTATGGCTTTTTACTTCTTAAAAATTTTGTCCAGCAGAGAAATTATTGGTAGATTCTTCCTGAAAGAAGACAGCATGTCATTTCTGCCCTTCAAATACTAGAAGAATAGTGTAATGCTTTGCTTACTCACCCACGCCCAGGGTGGACCACAATGGCAAAAGGTCGCTTCAAACCCTTTTCGATGACAGTCAGTAGGTTTAGGGTGCTGATATCCACTACCCGAATGGCTGTGTCTGTCCAATATATCTTAGAGGTGAGCCAGTCAACAGCAATGCCGTGTGGATTGGTCAAGTTACTAACCTGTTTAGGGAAATAAAGGGAATGAATGAAAGTGACAAATTATGGCAAAAGATGTCAAACGAAAGAGTTCTGAGCGGACGGACTCCATGAGTTTGATAGTCTTTAGTTAAGGTGACCACTTCAACCCCTGCAAGGTAAGCACACTGCTTGAGAAAAGACTAGCATGTAATTCAATTCACCAATGGCTACCACGACTGCCTTCACCAACTTGCTATTCGGGGCTGATGGTTCAATGATTTCTTTTACCATTTTGCTAGGAAAATAAACATTGAGGACAGAGATGACGCTGATGCGTTTCATCCAATGAGATGGTGGGAAAACCCGATGGGGGCAGATACTATCTGAGATTGTTAATGTGCTTTCTTCACTATCTCCTGTTAATGGGATTTCTCACTATCTCCTGCAACGGTAAGCCATGTATGGCAGCAAAGTTCAAGATCAACAAACAGTTTAATTCTACAGACTTCTCAGATTCCATGTTTGTGACAAAGCCAATATGCTTTTTTACGAGTTAAATCTGAATAAAATCTGGTACACTGGGTTCTTTTAATTCACTTGAACGTAACAATATAAATTCTCCATACCAAAGAACTGTTGTACATCTTGCACCTATTCACTGTTCTCGATGGATAAGAAGGGCACAAAGGAACCAGTCCATTCCATAGACGGTGGTCGCTACGCAAAGCTTTCCCCGAATCACGAGGAATAGCAACCGTGTCATTAGACTGGGGAATTCCACTTGTTATGTTTATGAGCAATCAAATAACTCAGTGTACCAGATTTTATTCAAATTTAACCTTGCAAAAAGCTTATTGGACAGATAACTGCCTGTTGCCATGTCCTTCCACATAAACTGCTCAGACTGAATTTTGGAGAGGTCAAAGACAATCAGCACCACAAAGGACAGCACAGGACTACACACGCACCAGCATCTGCACAGATGTGTCTCTGCGCTTGCGCTGGGCTGTGTCCAGCCTCCGTCGGCTGATGGTGCCGCTCTCTGCGTGCAGCAAAAAGACAGTTTGGGTGTTGTAGTTGAAGTCCACGGCATCGATGCGCACGCCCTCGTCGCCCGAGTACTCTGAGGTCATGTTGTTGTGGTGGGGGCTGTAGCGTTGCAGCTGCCGACTATTCAGGACCAGCAGGAAATTTGGGGGACCTGTCTCGGGATTAAGAGGACAGATGTCAAGCAAATCACGCTAATGTCATCCCAACAGGCAACTGTGGCCTTATTCATGAATCGGACATCTTTGACAAAAGTTAGGCGATGCCAAGTTATTGAGTGTGGGAGCAAAGATGATGTTATAAGGCAAATTACAGATTACTATCCTAATACTCTTATCAGTTTCTTAAAATTATTCATTCCTTTATTGATTTATGATTGCAAATTTCCAAAAGTCATGCCATCTTTATCGTCCACATGAAAAATGTTTTTCAAAGTCAGGCTATCACCTGTAATAACAGCAAAATAGTCGGGCGCTTTCCAATTTCAAAGTGCTCAACAAATAAAGTGGATTCAGGAGCACAATCCACATTGACCACCTTGTCAAGGAAGTCAATGGCCACTGTGCTTCAGTGTGAATACTGAATTCCCCTTTCTGAAAACAGTTTCTAAATCAATTCGGCACCGCTAAGAGTATACTGTGTATGGTTCATGACAAAGGGTACCCTAACTCGAAATGCACTGTCACCAAAATAGATTGTCCAAAGATGGATCACAACAGTTTGGGAGATTCTGAAAACACAACAAATGCCAGTAACCAAAAGTGGTACCCTTTCCCCGAATATATACCAACAAGAGCCATCATCCCATGAAGAACACTTCACAGCTGAGCAAATGAACAACCATCAGCTTTTCAAACCAGACTGTCATATCAAGATAAATAAGAGATACTGACCATCTGACAGGACTGGAACTCATCACTACAGGAAAGCTGATGACATGTCAATACCGCATTCAAGTTGCCACAAGATTTCAATAAGCATATCAAAAGTTTAGTGAGACATTTGTTTCATTTCTATTGACCTTTAGCCTTGCAGGTGACGTGACGTCTGGTCAGCCTGTCCTCTGTGTAGTTTCCTAGGCAGCTACATCTGAAGCTTCCCTGCAGGTTCTCACAAGTCTGGGAGCACATTCCAATTTGCTCGCACTCATTGATGTCTGAGGAAAGAGAAGGGTGAAGAGTTAGTCAACTTTCCCCCCAAACATTTTCAGCTAATTTTTCAGACCTGAGAAGTAAGACGTCTTCAACTTGAATGTGCGCTTCAGTTGTTCTGTTTGTGAGCTTTTCGTGTTACCATTGATCAAAAACTGATCACATTCCTTGCCAACAAAGAACGTTTCTCTCCTTTTCAGAGTTTATGTATTTCTTCCTTTTAGAATGTCCAGTTCATTTCTCCAACAAGTCAAAAAAAAAAACTCAGACTCTAGTCCAAGTCACGTCCGAGTCAGCCATTCAAGTCAACAGCACACCCAATCGGAGGGTTCCTGATGCAATTTGTGTTTCTCAGAATATTTTTGCCCGTCACAGAAAACACACTTTGGTCCCACACCTTTTGACGAGACATGACTGTGAGAGAAACAAGACCTCACCCTCGCAAGACCTCCCGTTGGCCTGCAGCCGGTACCCTTCCCGACAGCTACAGTAGATCCCACTGCCGGTACCCTGCTGCCTATCATTGCAGGTATGCTCGCACACATGCCCAGAATCAGCGCAGTTGCTTTCTACAGGCAAGTAAAAAACTAATATAGTTTCTTTGAGCCAATATACCGTTTAAAAAAAGGACAGTTGAGCAGAATCTACCCCTCAACATTTTCTCTGATGTTACAACAAAACCTTTTTCAATGCCAAGTCTTCAGAGTGTTCCATTAATGCCTTACTGTAACAAAGAATGATAATATTTACAAGAAGCCGTTGACATGCTCACCACGGGGGGAGGGGGGAAGTTGTGTACGGCTTATCTGGTACTCTGGAACTTGTTGCAGGAAGTGAATAGATCGCACAATATCTAATGTAGGGTTTCATATGTGGCTCTTCTTAGAACCACACAAAGTACAACGAGAAAATATGCCAAGATGATGCTAATACAAATTTATTAATTTAGTGACAGTCCACCACAATAATACTACTAATAATGAATATTTATAATGTGCCGGTACCACCTCGACAGACACTCATGGCGCAGTACAATCAAGAAAAAGAAAAAAAAAATACTTAAGATCTAATAACTGTTAACGAAGAAGTGGGATCATCCAGTCTTCTTCAAGCCAAGTCACATGCTCTTCACTTAAACTACGACAAAAATATTCCTTGTTACTTGTGACTGAGTTTGTCACTGAAGTAGTAACGGACTCAACGGCAGCCTCCTTGCTGAATCTCTGCTGTGCAGACCTTCAAATCTTACTCAAGTCAATTTCCAACTGAGTCGACAGACCTATTGGGTCCACTTAGTCACATGACCTCATTAGTGTCATTTACAAAAAATAAAGCCAATGGTTGGTAAAATACGCATATCACAGATGTGCTGAGTGCTATACTGAAAATCGGCTTTATTTTTGGTGAAAATCACTTAAAACACACCTTGTTGTTATGGGAGGACGCCAAGTTTGTTGATGTCTGATACCAACTGTAGGTCATGTATAGTGGACGCAATCAGTCTATTTCAGTGGCTGTGTGTTGGGCCGGCACTGCATCGAGACTTACCCCTTACGCAGTCTGTCTCGTCTGAGAAATCTCCGCAATCATTGACCAGGTCACACAATTTGTAGTTTGGCACACACCCACCGTTCCGGCACTTGAATTGCTCAGGTTGGCAGAGGGGCGGCTCTGTCGTACCTGTGGTCACGGCCAAGGTAAAATGTTAACTCGAGTGTTATTTCGTGCCTCAATCCATCAGAACGACGGATTTTTTTCATCAAGAATCATTCAAAAAAAAAATATCTTAAATTAAAAATGGCACATCGTTACCAAAATGGCAGTATTGGTATAATCCGGGAAGCTGCCCAAACTGATAATTGATAATGGACTTACAGAACTGCTCATCGCTGCCATCTCCACAATTATCCTCGCCATCACATCGCTGCATGCTGTGAACGCAGATGAAATTTCTACACAAGAATCGGTTGGGAGGTAAGCACGCCACTCCAGCTGCAGAACCAGGGTTGAATTGAAACAGATGTGAAACTAACTGTTTGTATAAACCAACTAAATCACCAGAGATGTAATCAAATACTTTTCAAATATCTTTTTCATCACTTAATACTGAGCTGTTCATTGCGAACACAGCGACAGAGACAGTAACAGTAAGCCAACAAATAAATTTAGTTGTTACACAGAAGGAATTTCGGATCTGGAAATCAAACAAAACTTTGAAATATATCTCAGAAATGCTTGAAAACTATTTCAAAGTATCCAGCGAGTGCATTCTGAAATGTTTGTCTTAAAGTCTGACTTTTCACACTATTGTCCAAATTCGTTCCTTTTTTAAAAGAGTTTACTGCTCAAAGTCTATATGATTCAGCTTAAGCCACTTCAATATCTGGCAGTAAACATGCTACTCAGGGAGTACTCGGTTATAACCCTGTAAAACATCAGGAAAACATTGTCCAAACATTGGCCCCAAGAAAGAAGAGCTTTGATGAGCTCAAGAGACTCCCTTGAAGTGAGTCTCATCCTCCCCATCATCCTATCCATCTCCTACTCCGCCCCCTCCGATTCATCCTATCCATCTCTTACTCTGGACCCCTTCCCCATCATCCTATCCATCTCTTACTC